AGAGAAAAAAATTTAGTTGAATTTGGTTCCCGCGGCCGCTGGGATTAAGTTGCTCCGCATGTAAATTGAAAGTGTGTGCGGTGCTTTGTACCGCGGACTATACTAATCTAACTCAAGAACGGTAAGTTGAAGTAGACAACCTCTTAACCAGCATTTCCATTTGTCAGGAATTTAAAGAAACCTATAATTTGATAATCGGATTTTTCCGCAATACGGTAAATGATAAGATGGATTAGGAAAATCGACAGATATAAATCATCAACTTTTCCAAATACAATAAAATAAGAATACATATAGCAGTTATTAAACTACAGTTGCTCAAGCGGGGTGCCTAAATTCCACTAAAATAAGCCCATATTGCTGTCTGAGCTCATCATTGCACAATGCGCTAATCAAACGCTGGTTAAGGTCACGGACACTTATCACCTCTTTCTTTATTCTGACTGGCCAGACTTCGGCCTATTACACTTATCCAACAACATATAAATCGCGGCATTAACATACCTTGAACTGTTCCCTCTCCTCATTACACGTCTTGCCTACAGACAGCCCTCTGTTTTGCCTACCCGAAATTCTGCCTACAGGCAGCCTTCTGTTTAACATACATTACATTCGTCATTCCTACAAAGTGCCATTCTGTTTTCAATACATAAAAATATGATTGTCAATTTTATCGACGATAATCACTTTCTGTGAAATAACCAGTTAGCACATATTCTAGTAGTAGCTAACGGCTGCCTTCATAATAGTTGTAACAGGGGTATAGATCAAATGCCCAGGTGGTGCGTTCAAATGTTTCTGCTGTGGTATGATGATTTGAACTTTCGGTTTAGGCCCTTGTTCATTCAGCACACAAAAAACGGTACGTTTTCGTAAATACGGCAATATCGCCGCACATCAATGAACTTGGCTGGCAAGCACAAAATACTTGTCAACCATTTGTTAATTTATCTGTTAATGAGAACTTCCTTTTATCGGTCGCAAGCAGTAATAAGGGATAGCAAAAAAGATGTACTAAAGAAGAGAATTTCTGGGTTACTTGAGTGACTTGGAGGTCTAGGACAAAATAAAAACACTCCGTAATCCGACCGCTAGTCTGAATCAAGTGATGAACGTCCATCATGCTTGAAATACAAAGTTTTTGTGGAATCCTAGATTACGTGTCAGAAATTGTTTTAATAATCAAATGTTTTCGCAACAAAATAGTGCGCCATCTATAAACACAGAAATATACTTACATTTATTATTTACTTTTTGCTTAATTGGTGTGAAAAATGTGGACAGTTTTTACTTACTTATACTTTATAGTTTATGGGTTTTCTTGATATTGCCGAAAAACAAATTGGCGGATGGGAGGTCACTTATTTCAATTTACCTGAGGTCCAAATTACGCTTCTGGAGTTAGATTAGTATATCTCGCAGCACGAAGCACCGCGTACAGAATCAATTTGCACGCGCAACAACTTAAAGTTACAAGTCGTATTGGCAAACAATTGTTTTCAGTCATTCACCATCAGACGGATTCATGACATGGGGAAGAAAAATTATCAGTTAATTGAAGCGTCTAGATGATCGTCAGTCTAGGGGGGAGAGGGGGAGGATAAAGGGGGTTAGTCCGTGGGTGTGTGTAATTAAGCATGTGGGTTTTCCCTCGTCTCCTGATGATGAATGACCGAATACAATTGTTTGCCAAAACGACTTTTCAATTGTTAAATGGAAATTTTCGCAGGATTTCAAGTGACTTTATTTTACTTGGTTTACTTAACTTATTTATATTTAAGTTAAGTTTTCCGTTCATTATCATGTTTACTATTTTTATGTATTTTTAGATCATTTTTAGTAAAGTGAGTTTACCTTACTTTATTTTACGATTTAAGTTAGTTGATTTAAGTTTTAGTTATTTTTTAATTTAGTTATTTCCCAATATTTGCATAATTGCAAATTTTAATAATGGTGCGTATTTTGTTGACAGACATAAGATAATTTAAATCACTATTACTATTCTTTCTATTTTTATAAACTTTATTTTTTATTTATATTTGCCTTCCCTTGTATTGCCCGGATTGTATGCTCTTTATCACACCCTATCCTGTATTACAAAAGGATGGGGATTTCGCGTATTGCTCTGGGACCCAAACTGGGATTCCACCAGAGTTTTCTTCAAGGTTTGTATGCCAATTCAATTATAGGCATAACTGGATGCTTGTGAAGACTCCCTGGTTAGGCGACGGCTACATGATAAGGTCGCTGTCAAGGCCTACTTAATGAAATCATTTCTGCTTGGTCACTGGGTTGTGGTCTAAGCCGCAACCATGCAAATTATGAAAGACAAAGAGGAAAAGAATGAGGAAATATTAATTCAATCTTACTTAAGTACGTTGTACGTGTCCACCAGACCAACGAAGGATGAGGGGAATGCAGCTGCGTAGTGCACGAATGCATTAAGTTCCTGTGGTTTCACTTCGTTTGGGCTGAGATTAAGCGTGGCGATAAGATGCCGAAGCCACTTTTTCGAAGCCTCCGTCAGCTGACCAACGTCGAACGTCCCTGTCGCCGCTAGCGTATGGTCCGATTCTTTTTTGACATGCCCGTTCAGGGTAGTCGATGAAGTCCTTTTGAAGGGAAAATAAGCAGGCTTTAACAGAGAACCCAGCTCACAGAATCAATTTTTTATAAAGAGGTGGGTTTAACGATCGTTCTACTGCAAAAAAGTAGCTGTCTTATTAGTAGCGAAAACTGCTTAAGACTTGACCTAAAAGCAAACGATTTTGGATCATTTGAAGACGTCTTAGAACCTTTCAGTTTAAAGTAAACATTTAAAGCATTTAGCATCCAACTTTGTCGATAACTGCAGGCCAAATGTCAGCACAGCTAAAAATCAAAATATGGTATACGAAGGCGTAAACTGATTGGAGTTTTATGCATGCATACATGAAGACTTACGAAAATGTGATTATAGTCTCTACGTAAGTGCGGACTGCAAGATGTCGTAAACATTCACAGCCTGCCGCTAGGCTTTAATCCTTTTAAGTAACCGGATCGGTAAGAGTTCCTTATAAACAACACCATAATTTACTATAACACAACTGACTAAACTAAAAGCTAAACTAAACCAAAACTACACTATGCTAAAACTAAACTTAATAAAATTAAATAATAGACGAATAACTTTACTAAAATAAATAAAAAAATACAAAGAAATAAGTATTTATTTAGTAACTTGGTCGGTAAGCGTTCCTGATAAAAAACAGCGTCATTGACTGTGACACAACTGACTAAACTCGAAGCTAAACTAAAATTAAACTACACTATACTAAAACATAAATAAATAAAAATAAATAATAAACTAATAACCTAAATAAAATAAATGACAAACTACAACGAAATAAGTGGTTATTTAGTTAGGGCAAATGACAAAAACTCTCACCATTGCGCCTTCTTAAAATTTTAAATTAGAAAAACATGACAGTTCAGACTGGAAGAATTGGTAACCTATTCGAATGTAGTCAACTAACCTTTAGGTAACATATATATAAATAAACAATGATAGAGGGATGTCTGTCGATCGCGATAGAGTACATAATAGTCTCGCTGTGCATTGTGACCGACTATTGGGTCTGTCAGCAGTCGAAAAACAGGTAATATTATTGACGGAATTATATTACGGACAAATTAGACGAAAACAGGAATGACCATTTCTGACTTATCAGCTGCTGTGCGTCTGTTAGCGGGGTTTTAGAGCAAGCCCCCAGGCAAAATGGTACAAGTAGGCACAGAATGCGATCTTAAACGCCTCTGAGCGCAACAAAAAGGAAAACGCGCCCATAGTTAGGCGTTCGACTTACGTCGAACAGAACACGGGTTCGAACCTCGGGGTTTCAAATCCCAGAGTTTTTGTATGGATAAATGGTGACCGTTAATAAGTCGGCAAGAGCATCGCAGAAACCCTGTGGTTGTTGGTGATGTTATTCTTACTATTATAACCATAAATATGCCAGAAATGTGCAAATGAGACTACATTGTATTTGTCGGTAATTTCTTTCTGCATATTGACATATCTTTTT